ATCTCATATGTCTTCCGTTCATCAAAACAGGTTGATCACTTCATGCATTTTAATCCGACACTCTTTTTCCCAATAACATCTCGTTGTTATTCCGTCGCACACCACCTAGAACACACCTTGCAAGGATTGTCCAACACACATAAATTTCTTTGACATGAAGACTTGGGATTCATTCCATTTCCAACAGTGTTGCTGAAGATGAGGTCAGTTGCCCTTCTTTAATTGATTTTTTACCAATCAATGGATATCGTTCGCCTTTAGGTTCGTGAATAATATCACAGATTGTATACTTTTATGTGATGAAATTGACTTGCATAGTTGTTCTGTCGTACGCTCGCTAGCATCCTCTGACTCACAGCAACTCACAGACGGTTGTCGAATGATCTGAACTGATCACTTCGTAATCATGTTCGGCTTGAACATCTCTGTATAGAAATTGTGAAGAATCGAATAACTAATGCTTTGTTCTTACAGAAGTATTATTGGAGAAATAATCTTTAATTCTTTTCCACTTTGTTATTGTTAGAAGCAATGTCAATCATCATACACTGAACAATATAAAGACGGATAATGGAAATTAATATATTCATATTGGTTTGACACGCAACTAGGTAAAATGACTGCTTGTTCACTATAGGTAGTAAATAGTATGCAAATCAAATGTCACTCTTCTATGCAGTAAGTCAGGTGATAGGAGATGCGATCACGACTTGTGGGTCATGTATAGAATGATTGTGGATTCAACCATGAGGTGAACTATTTTCTTGTAGTTAGTTAGCTTAGTATTTCTAATTGTATATGCGTACCAAAAGAAAAGTTAAGTAAAAAGTGAGCATTCGACAAGTTGCGTGTTGATGATAGGTATAAAAATGATCATAATTTATTCTCAATAATCATGTAGGTCACGAGAGGCTCGTTAATTTGCAGGATTGATCAAGTCGATACATGTAATATGGAATGTTCCCTGTAAAATGAACAACTTATTTCGATTGACGAGATGTGGTGAAAGTTTCGCTAAAGAATTAGGTTAACGGATTTACTGATGGTAAGACTGAGTTTACAATCCAAAATATGTAACGTATATTTTAAGTGCTGCGTTACACAAGCATCCTGATGTTAAGGCATACAGCAAACGCCATACGTTTTCTGTACAGATGAAAAATGATGAACATTTCTGTACATTTCGGTATTTTTCAGAATTGTTCTCAAAACGGATGCAATACTTGGTCTTTCTGAGGAAGTGATTTCTTTCACATATGTAAGGTTGATGGACTATTATATCCCGAGCGTTGTGTATTTCACTGGTAATGCTAATAGCGTAACAAAACAAGCACGTGACCAAAAGTATATGGGTATGCTCTGAAGAACAATATATACGTTTGCAAATCCACGGTTCAGTTATGAATTATGAGCTCGTTTACTCAGCGAAGCATATCGCTATGTTAGCAAATCAACTGTACACAAATCACCTTCACATCAATTGAATCGGTTATATCCTAGTATTCGAGATAGACAGCTGTTACGTTAAGAAAAATTTGTTAGTAAAGTGGGAACAATAATGAACGGAATTGTTTGAGGTGTTTCAGAAATGTCGGATTTGTGAGCGTAGACAGTGCATTCTCTTGCTGCATCGGAATGAATACTGACTCAATGACAGGTGAAGTGGGTGACTCATGTCATTTTCATCAAGTTGATACTGGTTACGATAATAAGTTTGTTTAATGAACGCTAGTTTTGGTTTCCTAGCTGCCTGAAATAACGATCAAATAAATCAGTGTGGCAACTGGAAGACGAAGGATGGGCGCTATACACAAAACCGACCGTTGTCAATTCAGATATATTCGAAAATAATAATTCCTTAACATACTCTGTGAACAACATACATGCTCTTATATAGTTAGATATCTATACTGTTTTATTAGATGTCAGTTCGTGTCACATAGGATTATCAAAAGTCTCTTTTACTTGTCGGTGGTATTCCGATTGACTGAGCTGTTACTCGATATATCACGTGGTGAATGCAGTTGGCGGGGGAATAATATGTTTCCAAACGTGTGTTTCAAAAACACTCCTTGAAAAAAATATTTAATCCCAAGGTATAATAAATCGATCAGCAATATGTTCAGCTTCAACCATGGCTTTTGTTTAAATCAATAAACAGTAATTTATCACGTTCCTTATCCTAACAATCAGAGTGTTTAAACAGTAAGCACAAAAGACTTTGAAGTTGTGACAGTTTCACTAAACTTAACCAAAAACTAAAACACTTAAGTGATAATTTCCTTACACAAATCATTCAATGACTTAGGCACTTGTTCTGGATGACCTTCACAGTGTATTCGTTTCTGCAAAAAGTATCGCTCAGCAGTTGTTTAAACTTATAAAGGCCGAATTTCTAAAATCACATTGCATCCAGTATTATCAGCTTTTAGATCAACCGAATCTTATAAAATTGCCTCCATACTGCCTGTATTACCTAATCAAATCATGATGTGAACATTTCATGTGCAAAGCAGCATTCATAAGTGGTCATATCAACCTGATGTGACCATCGCTGTCACAGGTAGAGCATCAGGCATCATGAAGTAGACCTGATTTTTGAGAGTGAGAGGTACCGATTAGCAGTTAATTTCTAAGCGGTATTCACTAAGAATGAATTAAAGAGAGTGATATAACATGCAGTGACATAAATAGATTGTGTTCACAATGTATGCCATAATTTAAACCATCAGCAGTAAAACAATTAACGTTTCGATGCATTATGAATGCAGTGGGCTGAAGAGCTATTTTGTCGATATAGTTGTGTAGGTTGCGTTAAATTCGGCGTCCAGATCACTACTTTGCTGGTCCACGACAAAAATGTTTTAAAAACTTAAATATGCTATGAAATACATTTTCCCATCAGTTTCCGTATAGTATGAACAGGCGAACCCCGATTCTGTCGGATGAGTTTATTTATGGCAATCGTTCAAGCAGACAGGATAACGAAAAGCATAAAAGCAAAGTGAATTTCAGTGGGGAGGGCGAGAGAGCCAACTCCATTCGATGAAGCATGACTAAGAATTTATAGTCAGACCGAAATCAGCCAACAAGTATTAAGAGAGACGGGCGAGCAACCAGAAGAACATAAGCTACGAAGATATGAACGAATGATTGACAAGTTCAAAAGACAAGATGACCACAATGAAATATTTCATCGACAGCCCTTTCTCTTATGTTTATTTCCTCTATTCGCATGTATTATTGACACTCAATGTTATTCAACATTAACAGTTGAAGATAACAAGGCTTTTGGTAAAATTTGGATACCTATTTAACAGAAATGAGATTAGCTTCGTTGCATAAAACAATACTTGAAGTAGGATATTTATGACCTGCTGAATGTTCCACACACATTCGCTGTTTACGTGTGCGAGTGTGTTCACGTTTCAAATATTCGTCATTTTAATAGTCAGTGCTACGGAATAACAGTCACCGAGTAACTTCAATTGGCCTGAATATTTTTGTGTGATAATCAGTATTCATAATGCCTATTCCAATGTGGCTTGTTATCCAGCTTGCACCGAATGGAGAACAATGGACAAACGGTGTTTGTAAGTAGTCAAACCTATGCAATTAGCGCATTTGAACAGATAATCCAAACTAGTTAACAGTTGAACCTGAACAATGACACTTTGTAGTATTAGCGTTCATGAACATGAACCCACAATACTAGCCATTGCGGTCGCTACAGATCACCTGCACAAAATTGCCACTTCACAAACAAACCACTCTCTGCACACAAATAAGTTCCACCTAATGTTACCAATGAAAAACAAGAGGTCACAAAATTTCACTTCGTGTAAACAAAATCAATGGAAGAAATAATGAACGATCAATGAGAATGAACACCAGTTCTGAATTATAATCTCTAACGTACACATCACCAAACTAATATTAGTATAACTAAAACAGAGGAATAATAAAATAGATATGTTGAAATTTTATTGGACGAATACACAAATCGATGTTGGCACATTGATTCTGTCGGTCTGTTGACGAAAGAGCATTCATTTGACTTGTAACAATAGTTGAAAACTATTTGATCAGTTTCTGAAATGAATAAAATTGAATAAAATATGACTCATAGATCTGTCAGTGCATTTAGAAGAGAAAAATGCTCTGGTGTCCAACTGTTCGCTGATAAGTTGCTAATTTAATGACCTTATGTCTTTGATAATCCACGTTTAAATTATTGAATTCCTTTTTTGGGGAAAGGTTTTAAAATTTTGCGATATGTTTTGGAAATCGAAACAGTATTTTATGCATGACTGAGAGATAATTTACTAGTCAAGCCTTTTACCAACAATAGGGCATAAGGTGACGACCAGCATTCTCCAAACTACTCTGTCCTGGATTTTCGTTTCTAGTTCCGTACATGTACAGCATTTTATTCTCACGTCGCCTCTCAGTTCTCAACGGGATGTGTTTTTCGGTCTTACTTCTTGTTTCTGCCTCTGGAGTTCGAATGGAGGGCATGTCTTGCCACGTAGTTTGAGGCGACCTATCCACTTAATGTACTTCTTCCTGAATTGTTCCTCCGTTGGAATTCGGATTGCTGCTTGTCATATAAAGCTATTTCTGATGGTGTCTAGCCAACGGATCGGAAGTATTTTGAGTAGGCAGCTGTTAATGAACGTCTGTGGCTTGTGAATGATTGCTTTCGTGGTTCTCTGAGTTTCCACCCAATACACAAAAATTGTCTTGACAATTATTTTAGAAATTCTGACTTTGTTGTTCTCCGGCATTTGTTCTGAGTTCCGTACATTCTACAGTTGTAGAAATGAAGTTCCTGCTATGCCAATCCGCGCCCTCACATCAGCATCAGATCCATGTTGCTCACCAATGATGCTGCTCTGATATGAAAAGCATTTGACGTCCTCCAAAGCATCTCCATAAAGAGTGGTTTCTTTGGCGCATGCTGTATGATATCTAAGAATCTTGCGTTCCCCTCTATGCATGTTAAGATCCGCTGTTGTTGAGGCTGCAGCAACATTGATTGTCCACTCTTCCGTTTGTTGCTTCGTTTTCGATGAGTGCGACAGATCATCTCTGAAGTCAAGATTCTCCAGCTTTATTCTGACGGTCAACGGCGTCCCATGCCTCGCTGCATATGTTCAGGTCTTCCTAACCCAGTTGATCATCAGGAGAAAAAGAAACGGTTGAAGTAAACAACCTTGCCTGTTACCGGTCCACACTTCAGATCAATCTGTGAAGTGAATAATGTTGAATCTCTTCTCAGACACGCCGTAGTATCGAAGAAGCCTTCATATTATCGTACAGACAGAGCTATCAAATGCGTTTTCTGAAAAATAGGAAGTTTACGTTGAGTGTTGAGCTTCATTCAATGGAGTGTTCCACAATGATCTGTAATATTGCAGTTTGTTGATGTAAACAACCTTGTCTGATACAAACTTACACCTCAAACCAGTCTGTGGGCTGTTTTACGTACAAGATTTGGCATCAACATAGTGTTCCACAATGATCTGTAATATTGCAGTTTGTTCAATATGAGTACAATAAATACAGAATCAAGCCAATGGATCTCGAAGCTGATCGTCTATGCAGTCCATGATTCTGTTTAACTATACCCTGTTAATCACTTTACCCTAACAGGTGTTACACTGCAACTTGCAACAAAGTAATGAGTAAACGAAATATGTCTATTTCTGCCTTTAATTTTGGTCAAGTGAAAAAGTTGATAGTTGTTGTAGAACGTAATCAGTCACATGAAATATTAGATATGATTCCTGCTGTTGAACAACTTATCAAATCACACAGATCATTTCTTAGGCATTATTCATCTTGATCAAATACGGCTCACTTCTTTACACTAGATATTTCCTGTCGACAGCTTCCTACGTTTTACAAAGAACGGAAAACTGAATGATTGATCTGCCATATTCATCACACATGTTGAATATATTGTTTCAAAATTCAGTGGTCAGCAACGTGACGGCAGACATAAAGAATTTTTTCACCCTTTTAGAAGACTTTACAAATGTCCAATTGACAAAACCTCTGATACTATAGCACTGTTAAAGACGAACATTTTGTTATTAACTTACATTTACTTTTCTCCTGTATATAAATATCCCTATGACACAGGCGATGCTTAATAGGAAGATTGAAACAGTAATCGTTACACCAATGTATATGTACTGACGAGATTTCCCCTGTCGATTTTGTTCAATATTGGCCACAGTTGAATTTGCCGTGATTGCTCCCTATTTGTAAAAGGAACAGCTATTACATATTTTTATTCATCTGAAATATCGTGAATAAATGAGTTATAAATTACGAAATATCTATCGAGTAATTGTTGGTTTATTTTGCTTCGTTATCGGTGTTAGTCAGAAGGAGAGTTCGACTGATGGCACAATAGCTGCACATGGTAGATGACTTCACTCACTCTTGTAGGATATCTACTACCTTTTTGAGGATTAGCACGGAAACACACACTCACCTACAATTAACTGACGATACTTGGTTGTGACAAACGGTGTATTCTGGATGTAACATCGAACCACAAAACAAGTATAAACAGACAATGCTCACGAAGCAATACAGTCGAGTGGCTAGACCTCCATCCATTGGACATTACCGAACAACTGGAACCGTACCGAAAGAACAAGAATCGAGCGCGAAGAAATCAAATTGGTTTACACTAGCTTGTGAAAAAGATTTTGGATATTAAGAGACTTATTTCGTAACAGACAACCAGAAGTCATACTTCTTAGCATCAATAATAAGAGCTTGCGAATTCGGTTTAATCACGCAAATGTGATTTCAGTTTAACACAACATTGCACTCCATTACTCAAATTAATTTATTCTCATTCATACATGGTTTAAAATAAACTCCATCTAACAACACTTGTTCATATTACTCACTTTCCATGAAGACTCTCTGCTCATGAATGATAATGTATGACAAACTAATACACAGACTTCAGTGTACTCTGATTTTGATAACGATTTCTTTTGAATGAATAGTTCGTAGTGGTGTAATATAATATATTCTAAAACACTATGTTTGTTAAAAAGGATTACTTACATAACAAGTATTCTGTCTCCAAACCGCAGCATACATGTCATTGCCATTTGTGCAAATATTAGCTGTTGGACACCAATGACATGTAACATTTAGGATCGTCGCATTTCGACATGTTTCAAGCGAATGTTGTTTGGAACAAAATTCTATGGAAAGAATGAAAGGGATGACTGAAAATATGATTTCGGATCAACAAATGAATGCTCTCTTGAGAGTGGAGTGACAATTTCACAGACTAAGACCCAAAGTTCACCTAGGTTATTCTGATATTTTTACCAATTTCAACGACAATATGTTCCATTTGGAGCCAATATACATCAGAAGATGAATTTGACTGATGGATTTTGACAGGCAAATGTAGAGGATCCCAATCATGTTTACTTTGTACCGTTTTTGATCATGGTAACTAAAGCGGAAACTTATCGAATGGTTATCTCATTGGTCGAAATGGTAGTTCAACAATGGTTTATTTGATGAAGCGGGAAATAGTTTTAGTTATTTGCTGTGAAAATTCAAACTGTTTGAAAGCATTTTGATATTATAAACAATGCATTCATCTACTACTGACGATTATTAATAGCATTTGATAGACAAGATCCAGTATTTTGTAATTTCGAGGTTATGTAAAGTTTGTAAAATGTGGTGACTACAATGTTAGTCCGAGGAAATTTTACGTGATAATACTTATTTTAAAATGTATAAAAATGAAGCAGCTACATGTGAGGAATACGTTAAATGAGATAGTTCGATGAAAACCGATCATTCTACAGACGAAATTTCAGTAGGAATAAACGAAATCAAATTAGTCAGATGAGTGGATTACTAATGAATTTTCAAAGATCAATATGTTACTTTGAACATACTTTTCATTGGTTCAAACTCCACCAATGTGCCAGTTGTTATCCAGTATTCAGGAATACGTATTTGATTGTATATGTGTATTGTTGATTTTGATGAATCTGATGAACAGAAGAAGACATTGCTAAACTAATGATTTACAATATAAGTGTGTTAGTGTAGCATTTTCAGAAAATATCTTTTAATCTACAAATAGTATCACATTTCGAATTACATATGGTTAGCACACAGAATAATCTTTTAGAGACTCAATGACAAATTGAACGCAGAAACATATTGGCTTAACAAACGTTTTATGCATTTTTTCAAATTCGATCATGCAACACTGATCCTACGCAATAAATCTACTCACGTACATCAGTTATTTGACTCTGGATAGCAGTTGAAATAACAATTTGTAAGTGTGAATCGTGTGACTGATTCCGATATCCAGTATGCAATATCTTTTTCACGAGATAGTGTAAACCAGTTGATTTCTTCGCGCTCGATTATTGTTCTTTCAGTACAGTTCATGGTGTTCGACAGTGTCCAATGAAAGGAGGTCTAGCCACTAGACTGTCTAATTCTAGTCAGTTGGTAGTTGGTTGTAAGTTCGTGTGTCTCGGGAATTGAATGAAAACGTTTGTTTCAGGACAGTAGGATTTCTGGATACCAGCAGCCGTCACATTACCAGACCGGAGATCAGTTAGTTGCAATGTGGAGAGTAATAAGGATAATAAGGATAAAATTCAAATGCTAATATGAATAGAATTTCAGAACGATTTAGTTTAATAATTGGTAGTGATATTGTGAGAGTGGACCGAAGTGTAGGCAAGGAAGAGGAAACAGAGATAATAAGCGAGATAGATTAATTGGGTGATCTGAGGAGATAGCAATAACTTAAACTAGCAGATCTCAAGATATGCATCATGCACAGCTTGTCCAAGGGGGAGATGATAATCCGTGAGTGGGTGCGTGATTATCAAGTCTCTTCCTAAAGCTGTCTTCTGAGGGGGCTGTGTTTACCTCGGCTGGGTGATCATTCCAAGTTGCGACGAATGTGAGGGAGAAGAAGTGTGCACGAATCTGGGTATTCACTTTTTGATATGCAGTATTTCGAGGATTGCCTCGAGGTGAGTGGTGGTGCGTCGGCAAGATGTCCACGTGGGGACGGTTTGGCGTGCCTAATATGTTGTACGCCATAATCAGATCACCTCTCATTCCCCTGTAGCTCAGTGGAAATAATCCCAACAGCTGGAGTCAATCGTCGTAAGGTTTATAATCAACCCTATCACCCATTTGGTTGCTCGTCTTTGCACTCGATCCAAGAGATTTATGTCTCTTTTAAGCAGAGGGGGTGCGATGACATTGCAAACCTCGAGGCGTGGGCGCGCATACGTCTTGAATAGTTTCAAAAATAACTGCGATGTGACAGCACCAACTGGTCTTCGCATATAGTGAAGAGTTGCGTTTGCCTTGGCTGCATCCCCTACATAGTTGGGACAGGTGTGGAGGCTTTCTGTAGTTATTAAACCGAGATCGCGCCCCGAGGAGACATTTGGAAGCATACTTCCGTTGAGGGTGTAGATCGTTTGCGTCGTGTGAGGCAGAATATGCAAGAAGTGACACTTCCGTTGGTTGAGTTTTAAACCGTTTTTCACTGCCCACTTCTCAATCGATGTAAGGTACTTTTGAAGCTCAGGCGAATCCTCTTCGCCTCTAATGGACCTCCACAACTTCCCATCGTCTGCGTAGATCAATGCCGGTGAGCTAACTAAGCCTAACAGGTCGTTAATAAATATCAGGAAGGGAAGTGGGCCTAAGATGGTATCCTGTGAAACTGTCGATGTGGATACTCGCCAGCTCCCGTGCACTCTCTTTAGCTTGGTGCGAAACTTTCTATTCTCAAGGTAGTTTCTGAGCCAAAATTGAAGTGGGTCAGTGATACCATTTCCACAACCTTTTCGATTAGGCGTGCGTGGGGTACTGTGTCAAATGCTTTTGCAGAGTCGAGAAATATTACGTGCACCGGTATTTTACGGTACAAACAGGATGTCCAAATGTCTCATTTTATGAGAAGGTTAGATACACACGACCTGCCATTCCGAAACCCGTGTTGAGCTTCATGGAGCATTTTATTCTTATCCATGTACTCCCTCATTTCTTCGTCCAGCAGACCTTCTAAAACCTTTGATAATATTGGTTGTAATTCGACTGAACTGTTACAGGCTGATTCCTTTCAATCTCCTCCATTGGAGATTGGAGAGAGAGTAGCTTGTTTCCATTCAGCTGGGAATTGGTGTAACTTTAGTGAATGCCTAAATAGGTCACATGTTAGTGAACAGAGGACTTCAGCACATTGTTTCAAGACAATGGGGCGGATTTTGTCATAACCCGGTGACTTACTTGGACGTAAGGATTTTAGTTTCCTTACTAGTAAGTCAGGAGTGATATGGATGTTCCCGAAGCCGTCAGCTGGCAATGGTTTGGCGTAGTACTCTGAACATGTGGTCACCTGGTTTAACTGCTCAGTAAAGTTAGTGTTGAAGATCTCGGCCATCTCTATTTTGGTGAGGTCTTGCCTGTTCGATCCTTTGAAAGAACACAACCCTTGATTGCCAGGTTTTCTTTTGGACATGAACCTTAACAGATGCATCGGGTTTTCCTCTATTTCGGAAGGTGGCTTCATCTGAAATTGTCTCGTATCACTTTAAACTTTGGTATTGGATCTGTTTCTCAGTGCCAAGTAAGAACTACGATCGAAATCCTTCAAGGAGACATTCCACTTGTGCCAGGCTCTCCTCTTCGTCACCAGCAAGCGTTCGGTGCCGCGCCTAACCCAAGTTCTTCTATTCCCAGGTGTGTGGTGTGACTGGGGTATATTGTCTACGACATCGTTTTGGATGATACTTGTCATTG